CCCAACCACATTTCCCAGCATGGCTAGTTTCTTCCCATAACAAAATGAACAAAAGTTGTTGATGGACATAATGGACCGTGGGTGGCCCATGGGGAAAGGAGGAATGAACTATACCAAAAGTAGGGGTACCCTTTTACCAAATAACCTCAATTTACTGTTGAAACTGATCCAGAGCATAATTATTGATTTACGAGTAAACTTTCTTCTAACCAAAAGAAATTAAAATGGCAGGGAGAGAATGACTACATGCAGCTTGTGTTGATTTTAAATCAACATTTGATTCCACTTTGAGAGAAATCATTATGAGGAACTTGGAAAATAATGTACAAAGGGTGTTTCTCATTCAGCAATTGGATGAAATGTGCTAACCATCTCTTTCAGAAAAGTCTCCCAGGGCTGTATTTTGACCTCCACCTTCTTTAAGGAGCAGTTCCACACAACAGGTCAACTGACCACCTTCCACTTAAACCTGTCTCAATCTGTGGGTCCCAAAGTACTTCTCCTCCTATAGGCTGAGAATATGGCTAGCAGGTCACAAAGCTTTTTTGGCCTTAAAGTGTGTAAGGATGTGCCTTGTCTCTCTACTCAAGAAACTAGTACTCTTAAAACAATTAGTATTTCAAAAGGAACCTATTGAGAAAGGGACAGCAAGACAAAGAAAGCAGGATCTGAGGATTCCTCTGAAATTCCTTCAGGGTAAAACAGCTAGAGACTCCTCCCCTCAGTCCAGTGTAGAAGCCAATCTGCAGGTGTGAAGTTTTTTTGAGAACTGCAGGATGAGAAAACGATAAAAAGTTGTTCTCAGGCATAGCTTGCTGAAGTCTCCATAGTGAGACATAACAGATGGCCCTCAATTGCATCACTCCCCACTTTCATTCCCAAGAAGGAACATCTCAGTACAGGATAAGCAGGAAAATGGTATAAAGTGAGGAATGGACTCAGTCCTCCCCCTCCCCCAAACCAGAATATTATCTATGGGACCTGAGAGTCCCTTGTAGCAGTTTCTGCTGGAAGACAACAGGACCATTGAGAAAATCCAATTGTCTGGGGATGGTCTTACATGACACTGATATTTGGAAAACCCATATAGATTATATCAAACAATGACAGGGAGAAACTTTCACACCCAAAATAAAGGCCAATTAGCCCTAGATTCAGCCATACCACACTTGCATCAATTAGGCAACAAGGGGGATGTCCTTTTAAAGGCAACTTATTATTGTAGCAGAGATTTCCCTCAATAAAAAAAAGGAATTCAGGAGATAGAATTGGGCTTCAGTTCAGTTCATTCCATACAGTAGGAAAAGTAGAAAATAGAAGAGTTTATTGCATGGAAGAAATCATCCTGTGCAGTTACAGTTACATAAGAGACATGGAGAGTAACATCCCATAATACTAAATATAACCACTGAAATGAGCATTGCATTGAAAGAACATTCACATGGGAAACGGCATCATGAGTCACTTAAGTCTGTGCTGAAAAAGTACAATTTCAGTCAGTTGAATCATGTACCAGGCACAATTGAAAAAGGCCTTTATTATTCAACTTGAGAAAGTCCCTTAATTGGCAGTTATTATTTACCCTTCTTAATATATTCTTTACTCATTTGGAGTAAAGAGAAATAATTCCTCCTCTTTGTATTATTAAAAATATCACGAATATTATTATACTGTTGCTTTTTTGTACATCGAGAGCTTGTGCACTCAAGGAGAATTCCTAGGGTGCCTATTCACATTTGGCCAAATTAAATATACAATTCAAATCAATTCAATTCCTCAGATACAGTGTGATTGAAGGGCTTCTCACACTCAGACATTTTTATCATATTTTCCCAGTTGAATTCTCTGAGTGGATTCTTTGATGTCTGTTAAGCTGTGCTTTCTGACTGAAGCTCTTTCTACAATGCAGACATGTATGTGGTTTTTCTCCTGTGTGAATTCTTTGGTGTTTATGGAGGCTACCACGCTCAGTGAAGCTCTTTCCACACTCCAGGCATTTATATGGTTTTTTTTCCTGTATGGACTCTTTGATGTCTATTAAGGCTGCTCCGCTTACTGAAGCTCTTTCCACACTCCAGGCATTTATGAGGTTTNTTGGGGGGAATGGCATCCAAGCATTGTTATTTCCTGTGAGAAATTACTCCCACCACAAGGACATCCCAACCAGATTTCCCAGCATGGCTGGTTTCTTCCCATAACAAAAGGAACAGAAAGTGTCCAAGCTTAGTTATGTAACATGAAGCTGTATTTTATGCAATATTTATATTTTTGGTAAAAAATTCATTCAATGAATCCAAGCTCTTCAAGCTGAGACAACATGCACTGCACTGATACATTCACACAGTTTCACAGTAACCATGAGATAAATCATAAAGCAAAGTGTAGGAATATTCCTTGTTTTGCAAATCTATCTAGACCACAAACTGTATAATTGTTTGGAGATAAATACATTTGTACCACCAGGCTCCCAGTGTGAGGGGGAATGGCAAGCAGTAAAAATGGAAGTGAAACCTTCTAAGCAGCTTATAAATAAAATATTAAAAAGCACCTGCCATTTCAGATCCATCATGGCAGCCCGTTAGTGGTACCCACCATGTCCCTCACCTTGTTGTGTCCCTGCCTCATCACCAGCCATCCCATTAAAAGGAATGAGACTGTCAATGAGTCAACAGCGGATCAGAGGAGGAGCCTCTGCACGACAGACATAACAGTTGCTCTTTAAAAATTATGATTTAAATCGAGTTGATTTAAATCAAGCCTTTTTAATAGTGATTTTTTTCATGATTAAAATCAACCATCCTGGAATAAATCATCCTGCTCAGTTATATCAGAGACATGGACAGAAACATAATATTAATATGTTAATAATATATTAACATTAAGCATAAAAATTGAAAGCAGCATTGGATTAAAGAGAGAACATTCACATGGGATCATGAGTCACGTGACTCTCTTGGAAAAGGTACAATTTCAGCCAGTTGAAACATTTAGCATGTACAATTGAAAAAGTCCTTTATTATTCAGCCTGAGATTTGGCACCTATTATTTACCCTTATCTTCTTTACTCAACCCTCATATTGGAATTATTATAATTATGTCATGAATATCATTCTGTTGCTTTGTAGGTACAGAGAGGTTGTACATTCGAGATAAATTCCTAGCATGTCTATTCACACTATTAAATACGCAATTCAATTCTATTTCTGAGAAACACACTGTGACTTCTCACACTTAGGCATGTTTATCATTTTTCTCCCACTTGATTTCTTTGGTGTCGATGAAGGCCTCTATTCTCAATATAGCTCTTTGTACACTCAAGACATTTATATAGTTTTTCTCTGAATGGATTGTTTGATGTGAACGAAGTGAAACACTTGCCACAGTCCAGGAATTTATGTGGTTTTTCTCATTAATGGATTATTTGATGCTGGGAAAGTTTTCATCTCTGACTGAAGTTCTTTCCACAGTCCAAACATTGTTATGGTTTTTGTAAGTGGATTCTTTGATGTCTATCAAGGTTTACTCTCCAACGGTAGCTTTTTCCACACTCTTTACATTGATATCTTTTCTCTTCTGTGTGGATTCTTTGATGCAGGTAAAGTTGTCCTCTCCGACTGAAGCTCTTTCCACACTCCAGACATTTATGAGGTTTTTCTCCT